CATAGTAGTATGGACGACGAGATGATTGAAAATGAACACAACGGAGATCTAGTCCTATTGGCAGACATCCATTTAAAATGTAGGCAACAGCATGAAAAAAGTGGTTTCTACTTTTACTTTTATACTTAAATTTACGTACATTTACAAGCCTGTACTTTGTTATTTTACTTGAGTAAAGAAGTTTAATCAGTACTTCCACTTTTACCAGAGTATTTTTTAACACAAGTATCTTACTCAAGTACGGAAAGTGAGTACTTTTGCCATCTCTGGTTATAACACATGCAAACCTTCTAATTTTAGGCCCAAAGTCTCCATACAAAGGAGGGATTGAGCGAACCTCAGGTTATATCGTGAACCATTTGGAAACTCAGAGGGGAAGACAAGAACTTTTTACATCAGATTTGAACATTTGTCACTGTTTTCTAGTGATATGGCACCTCAGAACACTTTTTACATTCACACATTAATATGTAAAGCCTTTCTGTAAAAAGGACTTCATCATGATATTAAAATGAGCTAAAGTAACTCTCCAGACATGCATGGTTTTAAACCTGAAGCAGCTGGGATGAAAGGAGTTATTTTCATACTGATACACTAAACAATATTCTTTAAAGTAATGATCTATTTCTGCTCATTGTCAGGAATATGTATTGTTATTCTCAAAATGGGAATGGTAATATTTTTTTAAGAACAAAGTATTTACCTTTGGTTTTCTATTGCTCACATTTATGATTCCACTATGTATGTATAAATAATAGTCAAAGGGAGTAAGGACAGGCTGGAAGAGGGAATAATGGCAGTATGTAGAAGTCTGCTTTTTTTGGGAAGATAAATAAAAGCAGAAGGTCTGACTACTCTATGAACTTAGTCCAACAGAAAGACAGCCTGGGCAACGAAACTGTCTCTGTGTTGGTTAGATTTTTTCCATTAGCGCTCTGTAGCGCAGCCTTATAAGTAAGAGTCTGAACAGTCTAGATGCTCTTTTTCTGGTCTTAGACCATAACGGGTCCTAGTTGGCAGGACGTTCCGCTCTGATGACTCTCTTTGCAGGCCTGTTTCTTAGTTGCTTCACAGCATTTGATGCAGGGCCAACAGGTTCTGCAACAGCTTTGTCCCCCCACTGCCATCAGACTGTTAAACTGTTTAACTCTAATCTGGACTCTGCCTATCACCTGCAACATTATTTTGCACCACCAACGTGGCTGAACACTTTATTGTCCTTTTAAATAGAACACAACTCAATGTTCTACTGCATCTTGCACCATATTTATTTCGCACTGCACTGAACCTTTCCATATTAATGGCCTTTTCCATTATTCTTTAAACTGGATTTCTTTTCTCCTATACCATTTACACGATGATCACTGCTGCACTTTATAATGATAATGTTAATTTCACTGGTGTAAGCTGTAAGCAACATAATTTTGTTTTGTATACACTTGGTGTATACAAAATTACAATAAAGTTTGTCTAAGTCTAATAGAACCATCACATTAATTTTATGTAAAGATTTAATGTGAGATTAATCCAGTTTCATCCCTGCTGGATTTTAGATCAGACATTTTGTTATGCTTTTACCGCAGGGATCAGCGTTCCAGGCATAACTTCGTTTCTTCAGCAGAGTTCTTGAATGGGGAATGAAAATGATGACTCTAGCTTCCAGAGAAGCTAGAGGTGATAATGCTGCTTTAAATAAGTACAAATCAGTCAGCTCAGAGTTTTATTGGTGAAATATAAACAGCAGCATTAAATTTGTGTTTATGATACAAACAACATAGTTATACTGGTAAACAATGAACATAGGATGGGTATTTAGAAAGGTTCTGATAAACAACAGGAGCAGAACTGAAGCCTAGATTAATATTTCACATTAGGACTCTTACACAAAGTATATAAATATACAAAAATAGTAGAGGGTAAAATATGCTTCTGGTATGAAATATAAATATCAGGTCACAATGTCACTGAACATCCCACCATCAGTTTGGACATGTCCAATCTAAACATGGTGAGAACAATGTCCACAACAGTGAGGATAGAGTCCCACCAGTTCAGCTCAGCTGGATCACTGGTCCAGGTCATTACCATCACAGCTGGGGGGTCTGTAATAATGCTGGCAGAACTCTCTGATCCGGGCGCAGGCCTCCAACATAAGCTCCTCCGGCACCGTCACCACGATCCGGAAGAAGTTGGGATACTCAAACGCCTGTTGGTCAACGTGAATAAATTCTGTTAATTGTCTTATTGGTAGTTATTTTTAGTCATTTTTCTGCACCGTCCCTTACCGAGGCGGGAAGACAAAACACGGACTGCTCCGTCACCAGACGCTCAGTAAAGTCCACATCATTTTTAAAGTCTGGATAGTGGTCCATCTCAATGCCAACCTGGAATAAAGGCACCCCTTCTCTGTTAATAAAGTTTAACATCTAACTATATTCTACCTAATCTGAACCGATTCTATTCTGTCGGGAATATCTATACTTTACTCCATTACTTATTTTTCTTCCTACCTCTGACTTCTATTCATTACATTTTTACAGAAGTATCTGTACTTTCTATTCCTTACATTTTTAAAACAAACGTTACTCTTTACTCTTGGCTTCGGTTTAATGTTTATAAATATTTATTTCACATCATGTGCGCCATCCAATGCAGATCATTGGCGCCATCCACATCTAGTGAAAACTAGTGTAATTGGATGAGTCATCTAACGCAAACACTCATTGGTTAGCTAAAGGAAATCATCAGAAGCAAGCAGGTGTTCTTCAAACTGTAAACGTGAATTGTCTATGCTATGCTACAATGTTGGATTCAGAAAAAGATGTTGAAATGTCTGAAAGCTCGGACACAGGGGAGAGCGTATCGGGAGATGGAGACCAACAAGACCACCCTCATCCTATCTCTCCATCTATCTATCTCAAAGAATTTTTCAAAATAGTCAAAAAATTTAGCTTTCAATTCATACAGTGGCCTCTGGCAGTTTTTTTTTAAAGGTTACTTTATACTTTTATACTTTAAGTAGTTTTTGGAGCACATACTTTTTCACTTTTACTTTAGTAAAGAGGTCAAGTTGATACTTCAACTTTTACCAGAGTGTTTTTAAACTGCAGTATCTATACTTCTACTTGAGTAACAAATGTGTGTATTTTTGACAACACTGACCGCAACAGAACAAGATTTTACTTCAACGTCAACTATTTTCAGGGTTTTCAGAATTTATTAGGGTATTAATAAATGAACTCCTGATTCAGTCTGTTTTGATACCAACCATGAGGTACATGGCTCCTGAGGGCATGACGGGGTTCAGACCCGGAACGCTGCACAGCTCCTTGAAACAAATCTCTGAGTTCGACTGAAAGAACAAAGAGCAGAACCAGAATCAGTCAAACTAGCAACAATTTGGAACATAAATGTTAAATTTCCTTAAAGAACATGCAATGGGGTCAAAAAGAGAAGACAACATAATGAGCATAATTGATTTCTGATCAAAAGCAATGAAGAGCTGTACTCCTGAACCAAGCATTGCCTGCAGAAACATTCAGAGGACCGTGGCTTCATTTTTGACAGAGTTGGGTCAGACGCGAATGAGGCGCTCTGATGATGAACTATGTTTATTTGTAGTTTAATGTGTGTTTATCAATATAACATTCCAGAGAGGCAAGTTTCTCTAATCCTGTTCAGTTTGGTGGAGGGGATGTGATGTTGTGGGCCTGTTTCTGTTCTGACAACTTTGTTGGCATCACAAAATCCCCACAACAGCAGGACATCTGGAAACCTGTCTGAAGGGGTCCTCTCTAAGTCCCTCATCAGGAGGAAGATCCACATCTGGCCACAGACACAGATTTGACCTAAATCCTGTAGACACCCAGTGGACTGAGCTGCAGAGGAGGAGCCACTGTTCACACTGTGGACTGATGTCACTGGGAACACCTTTCCTTACCTTCAGGAAGCTGATGGTGTCGCTGTAAAAGCTCTGAGGTGTATTATTCAGGATGCTCTCCAGCGCCCCCTGGACGATGGTGCAGGCTCCAAGAATTCGTTGAGTCAGTTTGACGAGACCTTGCCTGATCTGAGGTAGCAGCACAACAGGACAGGATCAGACACTCTCTTCATCAATAATCTATTTTTAATTTCAGTAGTAATCAATCATCTCTATAAATATTAAATAGATAACTAATTAGGTCTGAAAATAAATAAAGAAATCTAAAATAGATCTAATCGAATAGATCTAAAAAAAGCTGCTCTGGCTGCAGGGTTCTGCGAGTCTAGATCCAAACTGTTCATTAGTTAATCCATCGACAGACGGATAGTACTTTAATTAACCTTCAAGCCAAACTAAATGAGCTACATATAAACAGATACCAGAGAATTTAATCGGATAAACTCGTTCTGTCTTTGTATAAATTAAAAGATTCTGCACCTCAGATCCAAAGATGTTATTCCTGTCATGGATAAGGATCCATCCCAACCTCCATCCAGGCACCAGCCAGCGCTTTGCCAGGCCTCCACAGGACAGAATGGGAACGTTGCTGCTGAGAGACGCCAGAGAGGAAGAGTTGCATCCTGGGAAAACCTGAAATTAAGAGACGAAAAGAGAATAAAATGAAGAGAAGGCATAAAATGTGAGCTCTGCTACAAAGGATCACCTACATCAGGATCTACAACCCAGGTGGCGGTCAGGTTTTATTTAGAGGGATCAGAGTAGAGGGGCTGAATAGAACCCTCCACAGTGCTCCAGTTAGTCTGGGTCTGTCACCTAAACCTCTGTGAGATCAGAAGTCAGAGCCTGAGACATGCTAGGGTTAAAGGCTGCATTCAATTACTAAAAACTGTGTGAGAGAAGCTTCCAGAACTTTTAGAACCCACAAACCAATCATGTGGTTTGTGTGGCTCCGAGACTGGGTTCTTATTCTGATGATGAGGGGAAAGTAAGGAACAGTGAGCGTGAGAAGGTCCACTTATCACATCAAGCTTCACCTCCAAACAACAAGCTGTTTCTCATTAAAGCCCTGCGCCGCACTCAGAGTGATGCAAGGCGAGATGCCGCCCCGCGCCTCATTGGCCAGAATCGGGCCAATGATGTAACGGCAAATCTAAAACCCGTTTACATCCTTCTGAAAAGAAGCTATGAAACAGAGACTCTCTGGACAGCTGGATGCAGATGTTGACATCTGTGAGACATCTGAGGCACCACAGAGGGCAGTTAAGTCCAGACTCCACAACCCTCCTCACAGTCTGGGGGCCCTTACCCCGCACACGCCCCCTTCCCCCCCCAATATACGCTGCCCCCCCAAAAAAACCAAAGTCAAACAGATGCAGCTGAAAACTGCAAAGTCATCCTGGTCTGAAAAAAAAAAACAACAAACTGCTGGAAGATTCTAGAAACACGGATCGTCTTAGAGACTGGCGGAATTGTTGTTGTTCTTCTTCTTCTTCACAGAACCACCCCTGATGGGTCAGTCTGCAAAGCATAAAGGAACATGAACCAATTCAAAAGCTTTTTTTCTTCTGGTCTTCAGGGCCAGAGGATTCATAAACCCAAATTAGGTCAATCCTACAGTGAGCATCAGCAGGTGGGCCTGAAGCACAGCTCAGAACCAGCAGACTAAGACCAAAACAACAGACATTGACCCCGAGACAGAATGACAAGGATGAGACAGTACTACCAGATTTAGACAGCATCATCACACTGAGACAGAACCAGAACCCTCCTTACACCTTTGTAATCTGTTCAGAACCTCTATGTTTCATTATAGCATGGATGGGTTCTGGATTTTGGCTGCAGTTCAGAGCCAGGTCTTTCCCCATGAGGTTGACCCCTACATGTATAGGATCATCCTTAAAGTTTAGGAAATTGTTTCTGCCTCAAAGAATTAATGGTTCCAACATCAAGGATATCACACCAAAACATTTTTTCTGAAAAATTCAGCTAAAAGCACCAAAAGCTCCAAGAACCGTTGAACAGAACCGTTTTTAAAGGATAGCACATTCACTGATTTTACCAGAAGCTTTGCAGGATTTTTAACGTCATTCAGAACTTTTTGTTGCATCGATCAGTGGAAAACTACAGACCAACACATGCTGATTTCCACATCCTTATCTTCTGATTGTAATGACCCCAGATCATCCGACCCTCATAATGTCAGCGTCTGTCTCCACATGTTTGAACAACCTTCAGCTATTACATAATGAGAGAGGGTGACATTTATTCCAAAAATCAGACCATTTTCACAAGAACTTCATCTGCTACAGAAAGTTAGATGAAAGGATGACATGTTCTGAATCTGCTGGCCCAGGCCTCTGATCCCCATTTCCATGTTATGGACTCACAATCCAGAAAAAAGGACTAAATCCAGAACTGCTACCAGTATGCACAGCTTGAAAACAGAAGGCAATTATGAGACACACTCACCATGTCGCTGTAGATCTCATCAGCCAGGATGGGGACACACAGTTTGGAAGCCACTAGAAAACAGGATAAATCAAAGGGGTTTTGAGATGCAATGCAAGCTATTCTACCAGATCAAAGTAGCTGAGAAGCACAGCTAACCTTTGAGGATCTTCTGCAGATGATCCTTGCTGAACACAGACCCACAGGGGTTGGATGGGTTGGTAACGATCAGACAGGAAGTCCTCTCATCTATTAGGCTCTCCATGTGTTGCAGGTCGATCTCCCACGACTTCTCTGGCTGAAAGACCAAAACGTTTCCCTGGATTAGGCCTCAGAGATAAAATACCTCCACCTGATAGTTGGTTGAGAGACACCGGGTCTATCTACAGCTTCGGTTCTGAAGATGTTCAGCACACCTGATGATCAAATAACCTGCTCAGACAAAACAAGTCAGTCTGCTGGATCTATTCTGCATTAGAGAATAAGAAAACAACAGAAACATTCTTCCAGTAAAACTTGCAAAGCTTCTAGGATCAGGAGAAGTTGGCCCTAATATTTCATTTACTATTATTGTTTGAATTAAAACCTGTGTGACTGAGATATATTGGACCCTGTCTCAAATCTTTGGACCTTCAGCGTTGTTAATAATCTGAGAAGCTCTTTGAAAATCATAAAGCTTTAAAGAAATTTATAAATCTTCCCTTTAATGTACTTTCCAAATGATCCTGGAGGGAAGTACCTTCTCCCGCAGCATCTGACAGCTCTAGCTCTAGAAACCTGGCTAACGCATCAACCCAAACACAACTTGCTTATCTTTAAGAACGCCAACAACAGGGGCTAAAAGCAGCCTTAACTGGACTGAAAATAAAGTTTCTGACTCAGATATAAAGACTTCTTCTTACCAACAAGTTATAGAGTTTGACCTCAATGCCCATTGAGACAGCCAGAGTTTTATACAAGGAGAAGCCTGGACGAGGGACCAGGATGTTGTCCCCTGGGTTGCAGAGGACGTTGATGGCCAGCTCAATGGCCTGACTGCAGCCGCTGGTCAAAACCACATCCTGGAAGGACAACACTTTATTCTTAAGAGCATCTAACCTGGAGAATATGAAGCGTTTATGGATAAAACCAATTAAAATCAGAAGTAAAAGAGAAAGCACCTCTGCCTCTAGTGGAGCCTCAGGGCAGCTGTAAAAGTTGGCCACTGCCTGTCGACTCTTTAAGTAACCTGCAGACAAATGAAAGGCGGAAGGGAGAAACCCATCAATGCATCTCCAGCAAAAACTCATCTACCTGCATATCTGATACTATGAGGTAAGAGCTGGTAAAGATTCTCAGTCATCCAGGTCATAGTCATTCCAAAAAAGTAAAAAAAAAACAAAAACAATCTAATGAACTTTATTTCCAAGTTTGAAGATGTTCTGCTTCCTGGATGGGAAGCGAAACGTCTACAAACTTGGAAAGGTAGAACGAAAGACCTTCTCCCATATTCTGTCTGAGGTGGATCTGCTCCACTATTCAGTGACTCACCCACAGACGGGGCATAGCCATTATATTTATGGGAGTCGATGGCGTCTTTCATGGCTTGAAGGACAGTAGCGTCTGTTGGCAGGTTTCCAAACACGGTGGGATCTCCTGCAGAAACAGGTTTAATACAAAAACATTACTTCAAATCAGAGGAAAGCAGCCTTAGGTTATTTACACTCAACATTTAAAGGTGTCAGATGTTTTCATTTTATGGAAATCCATTGAGGACCTAGTGTTAAAAACAAGACCAGTTATACCTATAAAGTAAGATTGTCCATAGTTCATAGTTATAATTGTTTAAAAGTTTTCAAAGCAACCTATCACAGTGTTTTTAAAAGTATGTTTTAAGAATTAAACAACATCCCAGCCCACCTATAGAAAGCGAGATCATTGGCTTCTCTGGGTTTGGGACGAGCTTCATCCCATCCACGATGGCTCTGATGGGGTTCAGCGTGTTCTTTGACATCTCTGAAGGCTTCACCTCCCATCTCTGCCTGCGGCTCTTGGTTTTGGTCGTGCACAGGCTGCCGTTCACACTCATGTAATGGATGTCATTGCCGGGAAGTCCCTTCGCATTCAGGGTTCTGGTCCGGCTGTGGACTCCGTTGCTTTTCATCTGAACCAGGTAAGCCTTGTTGTCCATTCTGGAAGTCATGAAGCATCAACAGTGAGTCTGAGGAAGCCCCTCACCACCGTAACCAGTAAACAGGTTCTCTGCTTCCATGGAGGTAATTAAATCACTCAAAACTTTGTTTTGATCTTAGCTTCAAAAATCTGACATTTATTTTAATATTCTCTTTTTTTAAATGTCCAGTTTAATATTTATGAGGATTATCAGTATAAAATTATATCCATTTATTTGCTGAAATTTGTAACAAAAAGATATACAAGAAAAATTAGATTTATATTACTAACAGAGTGATGGCAGGTGGAAGAAACACAAACTTAATTTAAAACAATAGTTTTTTAATCCAAAACAATACATTTATTTATCATAAAATCAAGTCTCAGAGAAAATGATCACAAATCCCCTTTTATCTATTATTAAAGTCTGTTTTAGATAATTTTTACAGCTTTATTCTGTAGCGTAAACCACTTTATCCATGTTTTTTGTTCCAAAGTATTAGTCAAGCTTTAGGAGAGTCACATTCCTGTAATTTTGTTTTATTAACAATTATGTTTTAAGGACATTTCAGTTTTTACATCTTTCAGACGGATTCTGTCTGTCTTGAGAAATATCTACCACCTTAGTTGTTTCATAATGTCTAATTTTGCTCTTTTTTTTCAAATAATAGGATCTTTTATATTTTGCAATTTAATTTTAATCCATTGATGTTTGGTTATTTTGATCGTTGTAATTCTTATTGATAGGCTGTTCTTAATATTACTAATAATATGTTGTATCATCAGCAAATTGTTCCAATTATAATTTCTATAAAATGTTAAAAGTTTAGGACCTTCAACGCAAGCAGTGAGTGTATATAATTGTTTAATGTACCTCTTACCATCAGTTAATATTTCTATAATTTTCACTGGCAGTCAGGCTAAAGACTTTAGATTTATATGATATTATCAAACCTTTGTATATTTTTTCTGTTTTTGGAAAAATGTTGAATAAAACTCCGTAAAAACTGAAAAAAAGGAATAAAATAAATATAAAAAATAACATAAATTGAACACCATCAGGTAATTCCTTCCAAACAGTTTTGTAGTATATATAGTATATATATAGTATATAGTATATATATTGTAGTATAATATAAACATACAGAAAAAAGAAAGATTTTACCTCATAAAATATTCAGCTCTCCAAAATTGTAGTGCAGGTTATTATCAGTGTTGAACAGAAAGACACAGAAGCTGCTGCAGTTGCATTTATAGAGAAATTAAATAGGAAAATCCCCAAAACTGGGTGTTGAGCCCTGCCTAGGTTCCTATTGGTGGAGGTTGGGGGTTGTGCTATGTACACCCCTCTTACATCACTAACCAGAACCATACCATCTTAAACGCACAAATGACCGCAGCAATGGGAGGTAGAGAGTGGAGGGTCAGATGGGTCCATGTAAACCAAAAAGGGTTATGAACGTCACAACAGTGTGTGAGATGCAAATACACAGAGTGACGTCTGTCCCCCAGAGATGAGAGCAACATGCTTCAAACGCAACAACAATGAGTTCAAATGATCATTAGTCATTAAATCTGCTCCAGAGCTACAGAGACATCCACCTAAACCTGCACAACAAGGAGAGCCTCGAACAAAGAGACAGCCGAGATGGTCAGGGAGCTCTGGGGGAGCTGCATGCATCCACACCTCAGGTGGTCCATGGTCCATAAAACAGCAGAAAGAAAGCTGTATTTAAAAGAAGGCAATAATCTGTCCTGTTTGCTACAGGTGATGCAGGTGATGTGGAAGGAGATGGTCTGCTTTTAATTTTAGGCTGATAGCATGGTGGTAGCAGCACTGTGTAGTTGGAAGGATGGATGAAGCCAAGTTCAGGACCAAATGAAAAAAAATAAAAAACTATAAGAAGCTACAGAAGAACTGAAACCAGGTTGGAGGTCTGTGAACATCCACAACAGATCAAACGGATGGTTTAGATCAGAGCAGATTCACGTTAGAATGATCTAGGCAAAGCCTAGATCATTCTAGTCTTACAATGGGTGGTTAAATTGCAGTAAATTCACATGACCCCCTAAAAACACATGTAATAATTTCTCTCTCTATTTATATTTACATATAGAGTGAAGACATTAGATTTTAAATAAATGTTTTTTTAAATGGCCTTCAATTAATCACTTCAAATCTAATTTTATCCATTTAATATTGCATTGTATAATTAATTTAATGGCATATTTCACATTTAAAGCATATATTGGATGTATATCTACTTATTTTATAGTTCATTTAATTTTGTCATTTATTTTATTTATTGGTCCATCATGTACCTCACAATGACTGTGATGCGACACCCTCTTTGGTAGCTCCTGGCCAAGAGCTTTTTTTCTAAAAAGGGAATCTTCTCCCTGCTGGATTTAGATTAGATTAGATTAGATTGAACTTTATTGTCATTACACAGGTACAGGTACAAGGCAACGAAATGCAGTTTAGGTCTAACCAAGAAGTGCAATAGCAGCAATTGCAGGATAAATAATGGTTCCATAAATACCGGACATGGGTTTCTACTGAATGAGTATAGAGATGAATACCATTATAAGTAATGAATATAATATATAGATCACTAGTGTTAGGAACTAAATTTACAGCTGGATATGTACCGAATATAATATGCAGGTGGATATTACTATAAAAAGGGTTTTTACAGTGATGTACAATGAGCCCTTCATCTCCCATCAATGTTAGACAGTAACAATACAGCAAAACACAACCACACATAATACATCACAACAAAAGTACCACACCAGACACAACATGTGAGAACGTGGTATCCTCAGCATGACCTGCTGTTTAGGACAGCTCACCAGAGCAAGCCAGTAGTCTCCTATATCTGCATCCTGAGAGAAAATACAACAGCTGTTCTTTAAATGGATGAGGGGAGTTTTGAGGTTGCAATGTGTGTGATGACCTTATTACTGAGTTTGGAAAAGTTGGAGGTACCGATTATTTTTTGACACTAAGCACATTATAGAAACATGAGGAGCAGTGCCATAGGATTGACTAGATGATGCTTAGGCTTCAAAAGGGGAAGTGATGCAACATGAAATCTAAGTTTACAGATGAAACCGTTTTTGAAAATCTGCGATACGCTAACTGAAGGTAACTTTAGTCCCCAAGACAATTGAAGTTGTCATAATTTCTACAGTCTGGTTGTTGGTGACAACGGGAAGAGAAGTTTGTCAATGCCGCTTAGTTACATGGAGATGAAGGTGATTGCTACAAGAGTGAGTGAAGCTACTGGGGTTGTCATCTTCCAGAACAGGAAGCTCATGTGTGAGGAGAGCAAGGATGGCTGTGTCATCAGAGCATGTGGAGCTAGTGGTTCTGTGTGGGCGGCCTTGGTGTTATAGTAAAGGGGAACACAGCTTAGTGATGTGGTTGAGTCTATCAGAGCCTACCAGTTACCATAGTTATGTATAAGATGGTTCAACTAAGGATTATTGTTAAGATAATGTTGTGTCTGGATCATCAGGTGCCCAAAAGTGTTGAAAATCCATGTGTATTTTGGATCCGCTCCACAGAAACGTCCTACTTTGGGTTTAAAGGCAGAAAAACAGTGGGAGATGCAGATCAGAAGAGGTAAACATGGGTCAAAGAAGTCCTTATGTAACAAGAGTAAATAAGGACTGACAAATGATTGCACAGCTTTGGTCTGCATCCAGGTCTCACATCAGAACCACTCACGTTCTCAGGAAGGAAGGGATCAGGGATGAAGGAGCAGACACTATCATCCTGACTAAGGCTGACTTTAACGGTCAGAGCCTAATGCAAGCAGAACCTTTGCTATCTCAGTAATTAAAGGTTAGAATAGGACCATCTTGCTGAATGTGGACCCATACCGGCCCCCCGGTGTTGTGAAATGTGTGACGCTGCTAGAGATGATTCTAGAACCAAAACAAACACCTCAATGTTTGAGGAGGGAAACCAAAACAAGAGGACAAGGTTTCAGGATGACGATCCTGTTCGACAGACAAGAGTGGGTTTGTTTCTTTGGAGTACGAATTTCTTTTCTTCCTCATATCAACACTTTGGGTCAGAATCATGATCAGAACCTGGTTCTGTATTGATCAGCTAATTCACGCATTTTAAAGGATTCTAATGTTTCTGGATATAAACCAAACAGCAGATTGGCAGGTGAATAGACTCCCTCTACCCGGTCCATCCACCAGAACTGCCAGTAGGAAATGAAGCAAATGGTCCAGGTCTAATTCAGAAACGGGATCAAGTTTCCCTCACAAACCTTCACAGTCAAATCTGTGATGAATGCATGGAGTGAGTTTGGAAATGGAAATTGGAAAAAAAAAATGCAATATAGAAATGAAACTGAATAACTTCTAAATCCAAAAAAGGTTTTGAGTAACTTTACTGTTTGCATTTAAAAGATCCAATTTTCTAAATTTCAAGCCCAGTAAACACAATCACTCTTGACCAATAAAAATGTTGTTCCTAACATCCAGCAGACCGATAAAAATGTTGTTCCTAACATCCAGCAGACCAATAAAAATGTTGTTCCTAACATCCAGCAGACCGATAAAAATGCGTCTTCTCTCCTCATTCCAGAGGATATCCCGCCCCCAGAAGAAAAGAGACTGTGATCTGCAAATCGCCATGTGAAAAAAAAGTGAAAATAAAAACAAAAAGCAAATGTAATTATCATCATAATTGCTTTATAATCCTTTTAAGAAATAACAATTCCAGGAAGAAGAAACACTTTTCCTAACATAAAACCAGTACCTCCAGTGAAAATATTTACTTTTTACTGCATCTCAGCTCAACATAAAAAAAGAAAAAGAAGAGTGGGGACGATGTGGACATGCTGCACCTCTGATCCCAATGACAAACATCCTTAAAATCCAAAGATTTCAGCAAAACCTGCAGAACCACTTGCTGTCTGTTACAAGTCTCCTTTATGAGTTGGATCTTCTCAGCCAATAAAGCCAATAAAGACCTCATGGTGTCAGGATGAGTTACTGGGCCGAGTTCTTGAAGAACATCCAAGCTGTTCCCTTCAGGATAGGTTTAGGATAAGCCTCTGAGGCTCAGGTCTTCTGGGTCTCCAGCATAATGGTTCTTGGTGGAACAAACATTTAGTAAGAAAAATGTTCATTTGGTGCAAAGAGGGTGAATTCAAAGATGATCTGTTGGTGAGCAGATGCCTGCTGGATTCCTCATATGGCTACTCCAACATGTTTGGTGTGTAGAGTGCTGGGTGAATACATTTGATCCCATGACCTGCTTCACTGAAGGATTTAGGAAGTTTCAGAAAGCTCCAGGGATCAATCAACCATAATTTGAATGACTGTCTCATCCTACTGTCACCAATCAACTAAGCAGGTTGAAGCCAGTTTAGGGAGTTCTGTCCAGAATCTATAACTAGACCAGAACATGAAGCAGCAGCCCTTACTGGCAGCTTCTCTGTTATTTAGACAATAAGTGGTTTTCAGATGAATAATTGTCCTCCAACACCATTTTATACATCAGGAACACACTAAGTTCATGTAAAATGGCAGCGTCCAAACTTAATGTGAGAACTCTGTTCCAGGAAAAAAGTTCTGTTGGATTTTTATTCCGGTTTTTCCTTTTGAATCAGAATGTTTTCATTGTCTGAAGGCTGATTAAATGATGCAACAGTTTACTCAGAAAAACTTTGATCCCTTATGCTCAGAGTTCAGGTTGACTTTTACAACAAGTAGGTCAACAAACACATTCAGAAAGTTCTGGTGGTTTCAGCAGAACCATAGGTGACCCCAAACTACTCAAACAAAGTAAAGATAAGAGAAAGGTTTACTTCATTCTTTATTAGGTTGTTGTTTCCCTGTCAAGTCTTTCTCCATGTTTATAAATATATAAATTATACATTAATCCAAGGAACTGCAGGATCAAAAGTAATAAACTTGAGAATCCATTTAGAGCCTAAAGTTCTAGTATAAGAGGTATGAATATTTTAGTATCGATCCACACATGACCATATGTAAGGTTCTAAAGAACCATCCCTTAAGAGCAGGGGTCTCAAACTCTATTTACCCAGTGGCCTCTAGAGGTCGAGTCGGGGTGAGGCTGGGCCGCATCGGGTTTCCAACAAGAAAAGCTCTTAAAAAAAAACATTCCAATGTTATCAAATGTCATTATTTTTATTTCAAAATGGTCTTGTAGACGAAAAGATCGTTCTCCTTTTGTATATTTTTAGGCCGAATTGAAGATATGTCCTCCAAGTATTAAATAAGCCCTTTGAATTTTATTAATTTTTCGTTTAAGGATACTTTTAGTTTCTTTTCATTGATTTTGTGAATGGCCAATAAAACTCTGGAATTGGTTAATTCCGTTGGAGTTGCGCAACAAAATGAGAAACCAATTCAATGTTTCTTTAAACAGTATTTAAGTCAATTAAGTTTAATTGACTTTAAATTTTCAATTAAACTTGGATAGAACTTAAAAGTGCACTTTACTTTGCTATCTGACTTTACTGAATCTGTAACTTTACTTGATCTGTAATATTA